CTCGACACTAAATCCCCTCGCGCACATCTGTCCATGGCGCGTACTCTGCCCGGCCATCCTATCTCCGCAGAATCCAGCATAAATACCAGCCAAGCTTCATGTGACACTCTAAATCTACCGCCACAGATTTTAATCACTTCTAAAGCCAGTCGCGCAGGAATACCACCTTATGAACGACAACTGTACCAAAAAGAAAAGAAAAAAAAAACCCGAAGAAAATGCGCGCTAATACCCAGCAATAAAATTCTCCTGATTGCACGTACATATTTCTAAAACCTAACTTTGCTCCTCATCGCGGATAATTCAAACCACAAACAGGGAAAAGCGTGCTTTCATGACCTCATGAAATCTGCCATATGGAGCTTCTGTTGCACCAAGAGGACTCAACCTAGCAAAGCGTTGGGAGTCTGTGGTGCAGGTGCGTCCTCCCGTTGCCGTCGCGTGCATATATTTTATCATACCAGGATGGGTTAAAATAAATAAATAATTTAAAAATATAAAAGATGAAAAGGGGCAATTTTTGTACAGTACCTTCACTCATTTTTCCTCCAAATCGTACGTCGAGGGAGCAAAAAGGGAGCTTTTTTTTTCCATCCAACGTCGCAGGCTCAGCACCACGGCGGGAGTGGATAAGTGAGAGAGAGAGAGAGCGAGGGGGAGAGATAGAGAGGGAGGGAGGATGCATAGCCTAGACCTCTGCGTAGACTAATATAGTCCAACTGCAGTGGGCATCTACAACTGGCTTCATTTTCACTACAGTATAACCTACCTACGGATTGGGTCACCACTTAACCTCTTTTAATTGCTGGTGTGGGGTGTTTAATATTCATAAAATCTTCAAGTCATCACACCTAGGATTATCCAGCGTTGATTGCCATAACTCTGCATGCACACACAGGAGGCTGACACAGACATGCAGTCACTGCATCAGTGATTCCTTCTACCTCACATTCAAGACGTGAATAGGCGCACAAGCAATCTGACTGCCCTCGTAAAACTTGATTGAACAGATGCAAAAAAAAAGAAAGAAAGAAAGAAAAAGAAATCAATGAAGAGAAGGACCTTTTAATAAGTACAGTTTCTTGATAGATGTTAATTATTTACTCCTTCCAAAAACACAATAATGCTAAAGGCAGCATCTGACCCCAAGCACAATTCAATAATTTGCAGCATTTTTTTCTAGGTTATGGTGAGGGGACAATAAAAAATGCATTGTTGTGTTCAAATGAGAGCCTACGTTTTTGACAGTTCCTCCTCCTCCTCTTCCTTCTCTTCCCTCTCATTTTAACCGCAAACACATTTGAAGCTCTAAGATGGAGTAGGATGGGAGCGATGAATTTTCCCAGCAGTTTGTGAATCAGGCTATTGCAGGAAAAATCTAGAGGTATGAGAAGCCCCTGAGGATGTTCTGCCTGTGTGGACAGTGGGGAGGATGATTCTGTTTTTTTCACGGCAAGAAATATGTTGAAGGTGTAATCATACTCAATTAACACTCTTCCCCTCCTCATTTCACACTTGCATTTTTTTCCATCACAGAAGCCAGCACGCCCATACACATGCAAACACACATGTTTACCTCAGTTTATTAACTCACACTCTCTCAATCTCTGTCTTTTTTTCTCTGTCAGCAGAGGACTATTAGCTCAAGAGAGTGCTGTGGCATTGAGACTTATTAATTTTTATTCATATCAGTAGGTCCACTGTTGAGCCAACACCAATGGTTTGTCGTAGCATGATGCGCAACAAATTTAATTTCGCTCTATCTGCATTCATATGTGATGACCTCTTTAAATGTTTATGCTTGCATGCACAATAGGCTGTGTCGTACTGTCTACGCTAAAATGGACCTGTTCCAAAAATAATGGGGATTTCTTGCATCAAAAATCATCATGCGAAAGGTTTTTGTTTTGTTTTCCAATATCCACACACATAAATCAGATATATGGTGATACTGGTGAAATTCAATTCAATTCAATTCAGTTTTATTTATATAAAACCAAATCACAACAACAGTTTCCTTTATATCTCAAGGTAAAGAAGGTAAAGAAAGAAAACAGACAAAACCCCAACTATCATATGACCCCTATGAGCAAGCACTTGGGCAACAATGGAATAGAAAAACTCCCTTTTAACAGACCTAAAGCAGAACCAGGCTCAGGGAGGGGGCGGCCCCGTCAGGGAGCAACTTAAGAGGCTTTTGTGACATTTTTTCTACTTCTACTGTGTTTTATTCAGTTTCCAGTGTATTCTGTGTGCTTTTGCAGCATTTTTCTGTTTGCTGGTGTTTTCTTAAGTTGTAGTGTGTTTGACCTCTCTTACCCATCACTTATTTCCACACAAGTATCTAAGGAAATTCTCTCTGTCGCCTGCATTTGTTCAGTTCTGGTCTACTATTAGCCAAGAATTTAGAACAGGAGTCAAAAAGTGTTTGTTGACCTACCTTCTTAGGTTATTAAGTTTTTTTTTATCTGTATCTACACATATCCAATAAAGATGATGGAAAACCATGACTGAGGATGAATTTGACCAATATTGATGACAAAGTTATCGAAATGAAGTTATTTGCTTAAGTTAAAAAGTACTTACGTCACCGGTTTATGGAGTAACGTCATGTAATCATGAAAAAAAAAGATGGGCCTGAAAAATCTACAGGAGTTTGTCTATCAGACATATTTGAACAGACTGGTTAGCCATTTAAAAGTTCACATGAAGCTAAAAAGATAGGTCATCTCTCAAAAGCCTAATTCTGTCAGACTAGAAAATGTCGAGCTTCAGGCTAGTGCTTTTGCTCTCATGGGACCCAAAATTGCTGGCCTGCCTGCTCGCATTCATAACTAACCTCAACCAGCTGTCTAGTCATAAATACTTCTTTCCTAAATTCACTCTCACTTTGATGCATGCAAACGTTTTCCTAGCAGCCAAACAATTAATGACTCCCCTTTTATTACCGAATTACTGTCAGGACCTTTAATTCCCGATACTTCTTGTGATCACTATGTTGGAAAGAAATGGGGATGTTATTATATCACTAATAAGGTTCTGGGATTATGACACTGGCTACTCCAATAATGAATCAGTTGAAATCTTTCCAGATGGGTGCATCCATTTTCTGCTTGCTTTATTTATGTGTGTTTGGTGTTGCCTTGCTTTTTTGCTGGCTTTTATTTTGGAAAGTCAACAACTGAATGTGTTTTTTGTTCCCAGCAATCATTTATATATCAACATGGTTAACTTTGAAACATTGTCAGCAAGCATTAGCTTCAGTTTAAGTATATTTTCTTATTTTTACTGCTATGTTAAATAGAGGATCATCTCTTTCATATGGTTATTTGCAGCTTCTTCTGTTTTTTTCCTTCAATATGATAATGTTTAACACTACAATTTATGCATGGCTTTGTCTGTAATTGTGCTTGCTGGGTGATAAATGGCTCGTGCACTTACCTCCTCCTGAATGGAATAATTTTATTGGCATTAAGGGCAGGTCTGATGCGAATGTAATCGTATGCCAGGTTTCTGTGCTGATGAGGTGACTCATTGTGCATACATCATAGTGTTTTCACGCATTGCATCAGGTTTTCTCAATAGGCAATCAAGATCATTAGACTGCCCTTCATTTTATGTCGTTATGACAGATCCGTGCTAATGTGCAACATAGGATTGACTGGCCAGTAGTTCCCACTATACATATCATGGAACAGAAATAGAAGATCAGGCCAGTATATCACATTGTAATATGGCCTTTCCACCTATGTCCTTATTCTTAAATTAAAGGGAGTGCCATAAAACCCATCGCAACTCAAGAGTTGGGCCAATTCGAGCTGCCAGGGGCGAGTGGTGGGGCAAACCCTAAACAGGTCGCCAGTCTGCTGCAGGGCTAACAGCTATAACTGCATTGCTTTGGGAAGAAGCCAGAGTACCTGGAGAGATTCCTGGTGGATTCTAACCTATACGAGCAAACTATACAATCTGTAAAAAAAAAAAAGTGTTGTACATGTTCAGTAAACCTACTTAAAGAATCAAGTAAGTCAGCAGAAGTAACCAAGGTTATTTACGGGGATTGTTGGAGTTTTCCTTTGATACTCTTTGTAGGAGCTTCAGTAAATGCCCACAAAAGGGCTGAATGATGTCTGCTGGAGCCTTGTCATTCATTCACTTACAAAGGCCAGCATTTCAAAGCTGGGCCTATAAATAGGGTTATTCCGAGATTTATGAAATGATAGATATAATTACAGGTATTCAGTGCATGCTCTACAAACAGAGTATGCAGGAAGCATGACACATGAGGTTTTGTACTATATAAATAAATATTGAAAGTTCTCTGGACAGTAAAACGATTAACCACCTTCTTTATGGAGACCTTTAAAAGTGTCTCAAAGCACATTTAGAAAACCCCAGCAACAGTGATGTGAGAAAATTAGGACACCCTATGAAAGCCTGTATATTTTAAAATATATTTGGACATATGGATATTTAATATAAATTTCAAGGATACTGAGGGATCCAAATAATATAACTAAACAACTGAAAAATAAGAAAACCCTTTTTTAAAACTTTATGTGAAACGTAATTTAAAAAGAATGCAAATTCGGGTGAGGAATAAATTAGGACAGCCCCTCATGTCATCCCACTTAAAACGGTTAAAATCACACACAGTTGTATCATGTCAGGTGCACATGATCAGTACATTGTTACCCATCATTTTAAAGGAGACTTGCCCTATTTAAACCTCAGATTTAGTTTGGTGTGCTCCTGACTGTTGAAGTGTTGAAGTGAGCGCCATGGTGAGATCTAAAGAGCTGTCTGATGCCCTCAGAAAGACGTTTGTGGCTGCTTATGAGTGTGGTAAGAGATTCAAAAAGATCTTAAAGGAATTTGACATCAGCCATTCCACCATCTCAAAAATTGTTTACAACTGGTGGACATTCAAAACAACTGCCACCACGCCCAGGTCTGGCCGTCCAAGCATATTCACCCCCAGAGCAGACCACAAATTGCTCAAAGAAGTCATCAAAAATCCGAAAATGTCATTACAGGAACTACAGCAGGCTCTGGCTGCTGTCGATGTTAAAGTGCATGACTCTACTATCAGAGACTACACAAGTTTGACTTTCATGGAAGGTGTGCAAGGAGAAAATATTTGCTCTCTGAGAGAAACATTAAGGCCAGACTGAAGTTTGCCAGAGCGAACGTAGACCAAGACCATGACTTCTGGAATAATGTTCTTTGGACAGATGAATCTAAAACTGAATTATTTGGACACCAGAACAGTAGACATGTTTGGCGTAAACCAAATACAGCCTTCGAAGAAAAGAACCTCATACAAACTGTGAAGCATGGCCGTGTCAGTATCCTAGTTTGGGGATACTTTGCTGCAGCAGCACCTGGCCAGCTCACCGTCATAGAATCCATCATGAATCTGAAACAATGAGCCAAAGCATACCAGCAAATCCACCAAGAACTGGCTAAAAACTAAGTAGAGAGTCCTGGAATAGCCAAGTGAAAGCCCTGATCTTAATCCCACTGAGATGCTGTGGGGTGACTTGACAGACTGTACATGCAAGAAAACCCTCAAACATCTCACAGCTGAAAGAATTCTGCATTGAAGAGTGGCCCAAACTTGCTGTCGATGTCAGAGACTGGTAAAAGGTTACAAAAGGTGTCTCACTGAAGTTATATCAGCCAAAGGGGGCAACACTAGTTATTAAGGGGTAGGGTGTCCTAACTTTTTCCTCCATTAAAATACACATTTTTGTTCATATCTTTTTTTGATGTGTAGTTTTTTTTTTTGGTTAATTACAATTAAGTCACTTTCTTTTCCAGTAATACATGAAAACATGATTAGATATTGATATTTGAACATTTATTAATACAGAGCCGATTATTTTATGGGGTGTCCTAATTTTCTCAAATGACTGTAAGTGTGTCAATACCAAGTGAATTTAAACCTACAGCTCAGGGACCGGATCAGGGTTACAATCTTTATTTGGCAAGAGTCTTTATCCAGGTGATTGGTCCAACGAGTCGGGCCAGAACTGAACAGGGGATAGACGAATCAAAAAGACAAGCAAAACCTTTATTAACGACACAAAGAAACACAAGGCCGAGACTGTTGCAGCTGTGCAAAGATGAACTTGCAGAGGGAAGGGAAAAATGAGATTAAATACACTGTAGAGGGAGGGTATACAAGAAACAAATGATAAAAGAGCACCGATGGTACAAAAAGCAAAGGAAAGCATGAAAACAAGAATTAAAAAAAACATGGACCAGGAGAAGAGATGAAGAATGACAAGTATATCATGACCATATGATGATAAACTATACCCATGTCTGCTTGTTGCTTTGTTTTTTCTGAATTTTTACCAGTAGATTATATTATTTTAATATATTAAATTTTGTATGACTTTCTCAGTCCATTTGTTCAATTCCACCTATGTATTTCTATTAATGGAATTATTTAGTCAGTTAATACTTGCCATAGGTCCTAAGTTAAAGCATCACATATGTCATACCAGGGGCGCGGGACAGAAGAAAGTCTCCTTTGCTGCATTCATCATCTGAATGGGCAACTTCTGATAATTTGAATTCATCAAGTGTTGGAGGTACTGCTCCACTGTCACAATGCTCCACCTGCTGATGTGACTGTCTAGTGCTTGGCTGGAAAATCCACTCGCAAAACCTTTGCTCTCCCTGTCACATGTCATAGCACAAGGCAAATGCCCTAAGTGCCTGCAGTGTGTATTTAGCTTTAGTTGTTTCCATCCAACCATAGTAGAGTGTTTAGCGTGCATTGCCATCAATAAGTCAGACTTGTTCCCAGTGGCTGCTGGTTCCTGTCTGGGCTGCCCTTTGTCACTGACTTTGTTCATCATATTTCTAAGTACAGCTAAGTATGGAGGTTGAGCTGCAGCAGGTTAGGTGGTCTCAGGATCTGGTCTCTGCTTTTCTCAGATGGTGTGGTTCTGTTGACCTCCAGCTTTCACTGGGGCAGTTAGTTGCTGCCCCAAGTGTAGGTGTTCGAGCATCTTGGGGTCTTGTTACCACTTAGGTGGTTTGGACAGGTGAGGTATTTTGAGCATGTAAATGAGGCCTATTGGCAGACCCAGGATACGCCGGAGTGATTACACATCCGGATGGCTTCGTTGTGTGTTTAGTCTTATTATTTTTGCAATTGAGTCAAAATAGCCCATTATAGTTGCATCGTGTAAATACGATACAAATGAGGTTTAACTGAACTTAACTGACACCAGAGTCAAAGGATGGTGAATAAGCTTTTAAGTCATAAAAATTGATTACAATGTAATAATGTAATCTTTAAGCTTTAACATTGCATAGCTAATAATGCTTTGAGAAGAAATAAACCTTGTTATAGATATTATTCTGCTATTAAATGCTTTTTTTTTTAGAGTACCCAGGAACCTCAGTTATAGTCCATGTATGTTAAATATGTTGGCAGAATGAGAGTTTATACACTTGTGAATGTGTTCTTTCACATTTTACATTTCCTTGTCTAATTCATGTGTTTGTTGTTTGGGGGTCTACTTTGTTTTGCATTAGTTTAGTACTGAAAAAAAAAATAACATAGAGCTTTAGCTGCACTTAGAAATCCGTGTCCCTCTCAGTCATGTTCCTATTATAGTGGATTAAAGAGGATTACGTGCCATTCAAATGTCTGTTAAATAAAACATGCAATAGGAAAAGTTTAGCACTGTCACATTAGCTGTCTCAGTTTGAACCCCTGCTCCGGCCACCTTTCTGGCACTTATGACCTTTGGCTAATGCCTACATGTTTTGACAAACTCTGACACGCACCCAGCAGTTCAGATAGCGGGATTGTTTACCAGACGTGGTATCTCAGCTGACTGGCCTCACGACTCGAGAGCTGCAAGTGTGTTTCCATGGTAACCATGTATAGTATTGAGAAGAGCAGCAAAGAGAGTGGAAGAGAAGCAGAGAAAGAGAGAGAATGAAGCAAACCCTGGGAACCATGTCCTGTTATAATTATCCTTATTTTGTCAGTTATTCCAGCTGTGTGTTAAACATGATGCAGGATTGTCGTTTGCGGCATAAAAAAAATTAATAAATAAACAAATAGGCTTCTACTAATTTGTTAATAAGCATTTGCAGTAACTGAGTTAGTGAGTTACAGCTGAAGCTGGAGCGTAAAATAAAAGCTTTTGGAATGAACGCCTAAAAACTGCAGGAAACAAGACATACTGAGTTTTAGATGCTACAGATATTTAGAAAAAAATAAAATTGGAACACCTGTCTAATGTCACAGTAATAGATATTTAAGCAGTTAGGTGCATTTGCAAAATGTGGAACTAACTTATCTTACATTTATGACAGTTATATTGTCTTAAAACCTTGTAAAGCATAGTAGTCTGCCATTTTGATATAATTGGCAGTGACTGAATCTGAATTCTCCTAGGATGATCTCTGAGCTGCAATATTTTTAGTAACATAAAGAGAGAGAAAAAAACCCTATTTGTATTTCTCAGTTGTGGTGCAGGCTTGTGGAAAAACTGTCATAATTAATATTACATTAATTCAGTGTTTATCACATAGAAATGTTTATGCAGAGGGAAGAGGGGTTTAGAGTGGGAATGCGGGCCGTGTCATCAGTGGCCTCGTGCCTGGACAGAGATGAGGGCAGCATCACTAGATTCAAATGGGATCCAATCAGCAGTCAAGCAGACAGAACGCAGAGTTCCAGCTGATCCTGACTGACACTATGCATCATTAAACAGGAATCAGAAACAGGCATTTGAATGCGTAAATCTTCAATGATATAGTCAAACGAGCATGCAAACAACATCACGCCAACAATTTTGAATATCAGCAGGCAAAATAAATATTTTTTTCTCTACGCATATTCACGTTGTGCCCCAAATATGATGCTCATTCAACCACCTTGTATGTCTGTGTAATATATGTGGATAGTTTAAATTGATAAATCATACACAAAAGGCCTGAAACCTAAACACTAAACTTGGCATACAAGGGAATTAGCACAGCTCACCTTCCGTTTCCCTGCTGTAAAGCTACTACTAGTATTAGTACAATACAGGTTAATACTCAATACCAGCAGACATATCTGCACGTGCACACACACAAACAGATAGATAGTAACTTGGTAACAGATGGTAACATCTAGTGGCAGTTGACAAAACTGCATCACTCAGTGTGTCACATGCTCAGTATGTAGCTTTCGGTAACTGATACAGTCCATTGAAGACTTTACAGAAAACACTGGTAGCAGCAGTGTTATTAACTGTTAACCCCTTCATATCAAACACCACCAATCTGTTTATGGTTAGTGTTAGGGTTAAGTTAGCAGCCATTACTTTATTTAAGAGAATTAAGCTATGTAAGGTAGACTTTCAAAATATCATCACCACTACTTTGCTTTGACTAACAGATGGTGTCAGAATGGCACAGATACTTGTTTTTTTTTCTGCTTTATCTTTATTTATATTAATAATATTAATATCATATAACATGGACTACTAGAGATATCATCATTTTATTTTTATACCATTTTAATTAGACGCTTCAGAATGAAATGTTAGATTTCATGTTACACATATGATTTAAATTAAACAATGTCTTCTTGGTCGGAGTCAGGAAGCACAAAAGCTGCAATCTCATAATGTGGTTGAACACTGCAGCCTTCAGGAAGACATTTGTATTGCATATGCATTACAGTAAACTTGATGATATCTGTATACTGTAAAAGTTTTAGTCTACAAGTGCAGGTTATAATCAGATATTAGATTTCCTGGGAACCCAGATTATCCAAGAGTGAATCCTGAGTGTTGTAATTCACCACAAAAAGCAAGGTATGTTGTTGTAAATCTCCAATGCAAGGAACATCATCAGCACTTTATTTTTTCCAATTATGATAAAAGGCAAACAGCAACAAATGCAATCATCTACAATAAATGTGAATCCCAAATAAATAACTGACGATCTGGGTAACATGGCCCTAATGTTACAAATTAATGGTTATTCTCCCTAAAGAAAGGAAGCACTAATTATGAACCAAGGATGCGATACCTTATCTATCCTAAGGAAACTGAAGGGTAGTAAAAGTTACTTTCTTTCAGGGTTACATGCATGTTCTGATAAATGACAGACAATACAGCAAACCATATTAAACACGATTTATCCCTGCACTCCTTTTATTTCTTTTTTTTTTTTTATTTCTTAATTCAAGTTTAATAGTTCGTTTCTGTCCTGTGAGTGATTTTTCTGAAATAGTGTGCAAGCTAAATCCTGATGTAAATCACAAAGTATGCTTGGCTTTGTACATCCCTCGAATTTGTCTTGTAAAGTTTAAGCTACGTCAAAGTGTCTCATATCCCACGTAAATAAAATGCAAATAACACAAGAAAGAATAAACTGAGAAGCACATGTTTTTATTTGTAGGAGGTTTTGTTTTTTCAAGCCTGACTCTCTGAGGGTGTGAGTAGCAAGATGTTTGCGAAAGCTCCCAGACCCAAGCAAATTAGGTACAGAGATGGTCTGTTTAGTCAGTGAGTGAGAAAATCAGTATGGCTGTCAGACTGGTATTCTACTGCTATGTTAGCTACATTTCAAATCTATACAGCATAATAATAATAACAGGCCTAACTGATGGTGTTAACATGACATATACTGTTGTAATATAGCACAGCTAGTACAGTAACATACAGCTAATAAAACTTAAACACACCTAGAAATAATTGCTTGTGAAAGAGCATTACTTTAGCAGTCACTGCATTCAGGTTTAATTAAAAATATATTTTTCTTTAGCAGTTAAAATAGCAAGCTAGGGCCCTAAAAGACACAATGATACAGATCAATATGCTAAGCTAATAAGCTAATATGCTATGCTACAGTTAACTTTCTAGACACAATAAAATGGAATTAAGAAAAAGCACGGATAATAACTCGATACATATAGCGCTGTCTGTTTTAGCGTTGCTCACTTCATTAGGATTAGTGGTCCTTCTTCCCTTCATTGTTTTGGTTCTCAGGCTTGTCGAAATCTTCAGTGACCGAACCCACATCTTTTTCCTGAAATACAGTGATTTGTTAGAAACAGCTGGGCTAAGAGCTGCACTGACTGAGGTTAAAAGTGACAGGACTCAATGTTTTTCACAAGACTTACCTCAGCTGTCTCTTTTCCAATAGAGCATGTCAGCCATTTAATGTATTCCTCTCGCACCTGGTAAAGACAGTTTCAGTACAGTATAATAGTTTAGCTCCATACTGAAGAGTCCATGTAAAGCTTTACAACCATAATCATTGTTACACTGTGAACATTGTACTTCTTAAAATTTGTAAAACAAAGTAAAGGAGAAACCAGCAAAGATCATTTTTTTTAGCGAATAACCACAAACTTACTTTATGCTCCCTTCATTGTGCTACTATTGGCCTAGTGTGAGCATTTAAATGAGAGGTTGTGAAAGAGCAAAATGTAATAAGAGCATAGCTCAAGCTAAGGTCTACCTCCTTGTTTAGCAGACAGTGTACGATGTACAGGAATGTGCCCTGCTGGGAGTTGAGGATGATGAAGAGGACCTGGAAGAAAAGGTTTGACTGGTACAGGCCCAGAATCCATGTACAGCCCAGTATGACAAACTGTGCCACGATTTTGAAAATAATCAACCTGAAAAACAAAGAGCACAATATATGTTTTAACATTATTTGTGTTTACACTCAGCTGAGTCGAGAAAAGCTGTCTTTATTTTCTGTGTTTCATCTTATTTCAGCTCATTTATCCAAAGCCATCCTTCACCTTAACATTACAATGAGTTCCACTATAAAGACATGTACGTAAGTCACAAATTGCGCATTAGCACTTACATGCAGGTGCCACTTTCATTGTCACCTTAGTGAAAACAGTACATGAATGTTCAAACCTGGTGTCTTTGGATTGAGAAACATCACTCTTCATGTTGGCCAAAGTGGGTCTCAGACTCCAGAGAGTAGCAAGGAACAATAACCAGTTGATCTTTGAAAAATAAACAAACAACAATATTTGCTAGGTGTACAAAGTAAAAAGAAGCCTGCCACAGACTTGATAACACAGACTTTTAATTATAGATTATTGCTTCAGTTCCATTACAATTAGTTGTCAATCCAACTTGGCACGGCAGTGCTTTAAATATAATGTTATACCCAATCCTACATTTCATGGGCCAAATACAAACCATTTGTCCAACAGAAGTTAAATGTCCAAGGCCTAACATGACAGCTAACTACAGTCATGTCTCTAAATAAATGACATATACACATGAGGATTTTAAACACTCAATACGCACTTGCAAATACTCAATGTACTCACTGCTAGGACAGCAATAATAGGTCCTGTTAAAGCCCAGTTGAAATGTCGCTTTGTAGAGAGAAAGCATCTGCAAAAGAATCACGTAAACAAGTAAATAAATAATCAATCAAGCAAACCTGTTCTAGAAAAATATTGATCACATGGGAAAATGTGAAAATAATTATGTGTTACGCACACATTTGTGGAGGTAACACCATATCCATCAGAGTAAATTAGTGCAGAAACACCCACTATTACAAATGGAACACCATAGCCAACAAGGTAGAGAATTGGCCTGGGGAGGCCATCTCGTCGGATGACTTGCACCTGGGAGAGCTTCCGTACCAACAAGTGGAGCTGTAGTGCCTCCAGCAACATCCACACAAAACTGGCAACAATTAAGAAGTGGAGAAACCCTGCCAAGACAGTGCAGGCCAGCTGTAGAGACAGATAAATACATTTAAGCTTTATGGACAATTGGAACACAATAGCGAATCCTTAGATAATTCTTGCAGTTTAGCCACATTGTACCTTATTATCAGTGTATTTGTCATTCCACAACAAGAGCAGTTGTGAAAAAAACAGGTTGAGGCAGAGGTGGAGACGGGCGGTGTTGTTAATTTTGGGATTCCAGCTGCACAGAAGGAAGGTAAAGATGGCCAAAGCCAAGAAGAATAGTCCAATAATCACACATATCCGGTTCAGCCACTCTAAAAAAGGATTTGATGGTGTAGGCTGAAAATGAGACATATGTAGATTGTGATTAAAATGACCTTACTGCATATTTTTCTTAGTATGCAAGTAACTATTCAGGTCCCTTCACAGTTGGCTTTGGGACAAACCGCTGACAACCCTTTAGCTCACAGACACATAGATTTACTAGACCAGAAGTACTTCTGGAAAGAATGTTATAAACTGGCTAAATCAACCTGTACCAAGCATTTATACACTAGCTAAGGAGATTGTTTGTGGCCAAGGGAGGTTCCACAAAGTACCGTATTCAATTTCTAAAATTTTTATAACAGATTTTGGATTTGCAAGAATTTTCCCTATGTATTGCCATTCTGAGTCACTCAGTGTTTGCTAATAGAAAAAAAAGAGTTATTTTATCAAATTAAATTACTTCTACAACACAATGAAGTGAAGAAAAGACAAAGTCTGTGCATCCACCACTCAAAATCTGTCTGGATTTTAATATTTATTTAACCATAACAAATTAATAATAAGTTCATCAAAAAAGAAGAAGAAAAAATTATATACCTCCCCAATCTGCATGATCAGGGCAAATGTAGAAAGGTGAGAACAGCTGCAGATTGTATAGTTTTCATTAGAGAATGCAACCCAGCAGCCTTCCTCTGACCAGCTCATAGACTTTCCTCCTACAGTTTCTGTGGTTTTCCAGTAAACACAACTGACTGTTCCTGTTTCTGGTACTTCCTGAAAAAGCAAAGAAGAAACATTAAAAGTCTGTATCCCTCTGCATTAATAGATGTAGAGTTGAGATTCTGCAGCTGTACCTTCCTATGGTAGATAGTAAAGTTGACAGGCTCTGTGAGGTTAGTGTTATTAACTGGTAGTATGGCTGTGATAACATCCGAACACATATCTGTCTTTTTCTCTGTTTGGAAATACTGATGACTGAGAAGACTCTCCATCCCATTCAGTGTCATAAAAGCAGCTGTTGCAGATCCTGGGAGGTTTCGCATCACAAAAGAAATTGAAAACCACTCGTTAAATAAAAACAGTTTGGATTTGTCAGTATATTTAATTTTTAAAATACTCTCTCACCATTGTTAGCATGAGCTATAGCCTGCAAGTTGAAGTCCATGGTATTTCCATTAGCAGAGAGGGAGGTATTCCAGTTATCCTTACTCCCTGGACCAATGGCCAGCAGGCTCAGATCTTACAAATAGATAACAATCAGTTAATTCATACCAACAGTAATTTTAAATATAGTCAAGCTACAAAATATTAGAATTTAACTTACCCACTGTTGAAGAGTGCACTTCTTTTTTGGTTTGGTTTTCGGTATGTGGAGTCATTGCAACAACGATATACTCTGAAAGGTCAAGAATTGCGTTGCCCGTCGCCCGATCTCCTTCACTACTCACCTTGCTTTGTGTGGCTCGTGGTCCAACACCGGACACGGCCTGCAAAAATGTAAATCATTTTAATCAGTGAAACACGTAAATGTAAATACAGACATGGAATATGGTATGTTTTCTTTGGCTGGACATTAAGTACCATAGATGCAGCAAAGCTGTTGGCTACCGTCTGAAAACACATTATGAAGAAAAGAGAGAAAGGCGTTAGATAAAATGTACTATGGTTTACTCAGTACATCACATAACATATTAACATATTATTTTTAGTTACAAATGTCTGAATATATAACAAAGCACACTCTGGCTTACAAGCATCACTTTTGAACTACATACCGCTTCTGGTATGAAGGCACCTGTATTGTTTTTCAGGTCATCTTGCATATTGCTGATGAACGATATTTCTTTTGTCAGACCCTGCATTCAATGTGCAGTATTAGTATTAATTTATTACAAAGCACTGTCTGGTAATTATCATGGTTTAATTTACTGTTGCTTTATTTGAATGGAGCTAAACATTGGTTTAAACATTGTTATGCATTGGTGACAAAAAATAAGGCACCTTTAAAAGGTAAATATTTCGATGGGTCTCACCTCTTTGACTGGAACTTTATTTAGAGCATCTTCAACGCCTGTCAGTAAATTAAAAATGTGAACATCAACTGCCCTCTAACCAAATAAATAACCTTAAAACAATTCAAAATTATGGTTGAAACTGACTCACTTTGACAATATGTGACATTCAATATCCAGGCAACGATTCCAGTTGTGGGGAACAATCCATCGGGGCAGGAACAGTAAAAGGTACCCGGTACATTAGTGCACACAGTCATTTTACCACATATACCGGGTGTCTCAGTGCATTCGTCAATATCTGCAGTATAGAGAGCACACACACACACACACACACACACACACACACACACACATGCAAGGCAATCTGTTTTTATTGATCATTTAATTATTATGCATTTAATCATATTTGAGCTGCTATATGTCAAAACACCAAACAAGAGCACAAACCTCTGCATGGGTTATAATAGCTGGCTATAAAGGCTGGGTTGTTAATCCGATAACCAGGGATACAGGTGCACAAGTAAGATCCAATTGCATTTGAGCAGTTACAATTTGGTCCGCAGATGTCTATACATGTACGACACACTGGTAGGGTACACTCATTAATATCTGTTGAAGTACATGAATTAAAAAAAAATATGTTATCAACAAAAGAAGCCATATATTCTTTTCTGAAAAACAAAAATTACATCAGCGGATGCCTGGACACGTTTCTATGACAACAATAAACGCATATTTGGAGGAATCTTGGCTAGTCTGTCCAATTAGGTAATAATGGAAAAGAGACTATTCTGTTAGTTTAAAATCTAACGAGTACAGGTTGTGCAGCTAAATTGTGCTAGCAATGCCAAATCTGGATAGTATGTTTTCATGTTTTATCCACCGATAATAGATTAAATGTAATCTTTGCATAGTTTCCACATTTTGTGACAACGTGTTTCGTCTTTCCTTTTTTAAAAAAAAGTCTGTATGATTTTAGCCAAGCCATGACATTGCCAGTGCTTCATTGAACAATTTGATAATTCATCATTAATTCATCCTTCTGACACTAAAACAGCAATGACCCTGTGATTTAATGTATTTTGTCAGCCTAGGCATTTCTTTACTCAGTAACAATCTTGTGACATTGTAGTGGTCACATAAATACTTTTGAAATAGCAGGGAGACACAGAGACAGAGAGAGAGAGCAAACACAAGTGACTTCAAATATAAATAAATCAATTTTCACATACCAATACAGACGTTGGTCTCATTGGGTTGCTTAGTTATATCCATTGGTTCAAAACCCACCTTACAGCTACAGGAGTAATTTCCAGGCAGGTTTTGGCAGATAGAATATGGACCACATATCGTTGAGTTGTAACACTCATCAATATCTGAAGTTAGAAAGTTACAGCTAGTTCTTATCACACTGCATTTTAAAGTTGTAAAAGTACAAACCACCCTTTCACAGAAACTCATACAACTCTTAATATACTATGCATACAAATATTCTGTAGTCACACTCAGTAATTAACAGTAATATGAACAGTCCAGTGAAGTTCACTTGATAGAATATTGTAACGTGCAATACAGACCTTGGCAAATAGGGGACATTATATAATCAGCCCTAAAGCCTTCAAAGCAGTTGCACACAAAACTTCCTATGTTGTTGTAGCAGGTCCCGTATGGCCCACAGACACCACTAAGACATTCATCAATATCTACACAAAGAACAATTAAAAAGTGAATATAAAACAAACGAAACAGGATTATTTCTGTGTTTGTTTGTTTGTTTGTTTGATTTGTACCTTCACAGCCAGGGGTCACTTTAATTTTTGGTATTGGCTTTGGTAGTTGAAATCCTTCCCAACAGTTACAACTGTAGGACCCAACTGTATTGTGACAGTTGGTATTATGACCACAAATTCCTTGAGTCCTTGTGCACTCATTAATATCTGGTAAGATGATATACAATCAGCAAATTGCAAACTTTAAAAACATATTAGTCCAGATGATGCACTTGCTTCTGAGTGTCTGTTTATAAATAACAGCTTTTACAATTACTGGTGTAAACATTATAGGTCTAGATTTCTGTAACGATCTTGAAAATTATGCATTTTCATATTGATCATAATATAAAAAATATATAAATATTGCTGTTTTGAAAATAACATCTTGTTTTTAATGTACTATAATTTCTTACCAATACAGCCATATGATGTTGAAGTAGGCAGGGAGTCTGGAGGCATTTCATATCCATCATTGCAAATGCATCCCCCATTTGCTGTGCAATTACCCAATGGTCCACAAGACGTTGCAGTACACTTACTATGATCTAAATAGATATAAAATCATGGTACATGTTCATATTATGAATAACATAATATTCCCAATAAATAATGTATTGTTTATTTTATATATTAGGATAAATAATAATATTATATATATTATTTATATTAAGAAAAAATTCATGAATGCAGCATGCATTGCTCATAAAAATTAATGAGTATGATATAGTAACAGACATGTTACTTGCTTGTGCGAAGCACAAAACAGTTCATAGCTGGCAAGTTGTTTCACATCTTTGCTAGTTTTCAAAATACTGCGGCCTAATCAAATGAAGTTTAGTGTAGCCATCTTATTAAGAATGCAAATGATGTTTTTTCCCATACAGCACCAATACAAACACCTACATCAAAGAATACGTTTGTTTTAATCTAATATTTGATTTTTGTGTTCTATTCTGTCTAACTTGTTTTTTTTTTTATTGTTATTTCAGTATTATATTTGCTTAAAAAAATAAATATTGTGTAACTGCATCTGAGTGGAAAGATGCCTATTACTTTGTCAATGTAGTTTACTCCCAGACTCTTTTAGGTTGTATCCATCACAAAATATTTTTTGTGAGTGAAGAAATTCATCAACACAAGGCATACACTCACAAGACAAAGATAATAAGTAATTGAATCAGTATTTGAAAATGCTTAAATGTTTTTGGATCATCAAACAAGTTAATAAAAGTAAAAACTTATTTTAACACAGATTAATAAAATATAAAATTCTGAAATGATCAGTTATTTTATTAAGAGAAAAAAAGTAATCCAAACCTACCTAGCCCTATTTGAAGCATATCCTCCCTTTATTAAGTCATAAATTCACAGGTATTAACAGTTAACCGGATCTTTTGTAAAAGCTAAGTTCAGTTCCATTAGCCATGCCCGGATCCAATTACTGCCAAAACTCTTGAACCATAAAATCACTTGTCTTACAAAGTGAAATAGGCTAAAAACTCGCTAAAAGCTACACATCATGCAGCTAAGAAACAATGTAATTGACATGTATCAGTCTGGAAAGGTTTACAAAGACATTTCTAAGACTTTGGAACTTAAGCGACAGCCATTACCTAGAAACCTTCCCTGGAAAAATCCAGGGTGCCAAAATTACTCCAAGAGAGCATCAACAGCTCATCGTGGGGTTCACAAGTGAAAACACAACAACATCTAAAGACCTGCACTACACACTTAATTTCAGTTAAGGTCCCAGTCATGATCCAACAATAAGAAAGAGACTGAGCAAAAATGGGAGAGTGTCAAGGAGAAAACCACTGCTGAGCAAAACAGAAAGGCTCGTCTTACATTTGTTACAAACATTTTTGATTAACCCTCGAAGTCTTTGAGGAAATATTCTGTTGACTGATGAGACAAATGTTGAACGTTTTGTAAGGTTTGAGGCTTATTCTAGCGTAAAACTAACACAGAATTCAGAAAATGTGATCCTAGTTTGAGTCAAATACGGTGGTGGTAGTGTGGTGGTCCGGGGCTGCTTTGCAGCTTCAGGGTGGCTTGCTGTAATTAATAAAACCACGAATTGTGCTCTAGACCAAAAAGTTTGAAGCAGAACATTTGACCATCATTTTGTGCTGCTAGCTCACTTGAGTTGCAGCAGGACAATAATCCAAAAAACACACCAACAAAATCACCTCTGAATGGCTCAAAACATACCAAAACTAATGGAGTGAGCGAATCGAAGTCCAGAATCAGACTGAGATGCTTTTGGTGACCTAAACAG